TACATGTGAGGAAATGCTTACAATCATTAGCCATTGTTGTTGTTGTTGTTATGTGCCGTCGAGTCAGCCCTGACTCATAGTGACCCCTCCTTGGGTTTCCGAGGCAGTATCACTACGGAAGTAGGATTGCCCAACCTTCCTTCCGAGGAGTGGCTGGTGGGTTTGAATCGCCAGCCGTCTGGTTAGCAGGCAAGTGTCTTAGCCACTATGCTACCAAAGCTCCCCATTAGCCATTAGAGAGATGTAATCTCTCATTAGCCATTAGAGAGATGAAAATCAAAACAATAATGATATCATCTCACCCCAGCAATAGTAGCAAAGTTCAACAAGACAGAAAATAATAAATGCAGGTGAGGTCATGAAGAGATTGGAACTCTCATACATTGTGATGGGACTGTAAAATGGTACAACCATTGTGGAAAATGGTGTGGTGTTTCCTTAAAAAACTGAAAATAGAAATACCATTTGAGCCATAATTCCTTTACTAGGAATATATCCTACAGAAGTGAGAGACAGGACACAAAGAGACATATGCACCCCCATGTTCACCACGACACAATTCACTATAGAAAAGAGATAGAAACAACCTAAATGCCCATCAGCAGATGAATGGATAACCAAATTATGGTACATTCACACATTGGAATACTATGCTACAGTAATGAATAATGGAGAATACACAAATCATCTCACAACGTGGTTGAATCTGGAGGACATTATGCTAAGTGAAATAAGTCAATCACAGAAGGACAAATATTGTATGAGCCCATTATTGTAAAAAGTCAAGGAAAGTTTTGCTTAGGGAAGGGAACTCACTTTGTAGGTTATCGGGGAGGGGAGGGAGGGAAAGGAAAATTTTGGACTAGTTGGGGGCCACATGCTGATTTGGATAAAGGAAGGTACCATACGGAAAGAATCTGTGACCAATATGCTAACATTTGGGAATCAGAAGACACTGTAACATGTGCATAAGATATAGACAACAGAGGTGAATAGTATTATATGTGCAATACTGCATTATCACTAACACTAAACACCAGGCTACAGATAAATACATAGACAAGTGAGAAGATAACATGGGGGTCAGTGAACAGGAATGTACCCTAGACCAATGATAGATTTAGCTGAAGATAATGTTGCATAGATACTAATGATACAAAATAACAAAAAAGAAAAAAAAAGAATATGAAATGAATATATGTACATATGTATATACATATATATACACAGTTACATATACACAAATACATACATATGCACAAATACAGTTCATTTCCATAGACCTCTTTAAAGTGTTAAAAACAAAAATGTCACTTTGAGGACCAAAATGTACCTCACCCAAGCCATGGTGTTATAAATTGCCTCATATGCATGGGAAAGCTGGACAATGACCCAGGATGACCAAAGAAGAACTGAAGCACTTGTATTATGGTGGCGGAGAAGAATATTCAGTAAACCACAGACTGCCAGAATGCTCCTTAGAAGCAAGCACCGCAAGATTCTGTTGTATAATCTGTGGACATGTTATTAGAAATCACCAGTCCCTGGAGAAGGACTTCTTGCTTTGTAAAGTGGTTTTGTTGTTGTTGTTATGTGCCGTCGAGTCAGACCCAACTCCTTCCGAGGAATGGCTGGTGGGTTTGAAAGTGGAGGGTCAGCAAAAAAGAGAACTCTTGTTAAGGATTGAATTTTGTCATTCAAAAGTGTGTGTTATAAATCCTCTATGATTCTGGCTATAATCCCACTTGGGAAAGAATTTTCTTTGTTATGTTAATTAGACAGAATTGTTGTAGGGTATGTCTTAAATCAATCTCTGTTGAGGTATAAAAGAGACTAAACAAGCAAGTGAAAGAAGCAGAGATGGGAGAAGAGAAATACCAAGCCACATGGAGATTGCCGAGGAGTAGAAGCTCAGAAGAGACAAGAATCTTCCTCCAGAGACAACAAAGAGAGAAAGACCTCCCATAGGGCAGATTCTCTGAAATCAGATTTCTAGCATTTTAATTGTGAGAAAATAAATTTCTGTTTAATCTATCCTCTTGTTTCTGTTATTGCAGCAGTAGAAAACTAAGACAACTCTCAACAAGATGGATTGACATTGTAGTTGTAACAATGGTATCACACACACAGAATGGTTATGAGGATGGCGTAGGTTTGGGCAGCATTTCACTGTGTTGTATGTGGAGTCACTATGAGTTGGAACTGACTCAATTGTACCTAACAACAACAACCCTGTGTACTTCATATATATAGTTCCTTTGCTTGGAATAGTAATAACAACAGTTTAAACTATATTTTTTGCTACTATTAATTTTTTTATATAATACTAGTTTGCAAGTGGGTTTTATTCAACACTGTTGGCATTGCATTTGTGTTGTAATTCTTCAAAATGACACATGATAATTACCTCATAATTCCTTTATTAAGTATTCTAAATTTCATTTTAAATTAGGGAAATAACTCTCAGTCTTTTCATTTTAACTGATGTCTTATTTTGGAATTCATCTATACAATATCAGATATTAGGAAGAATGTAATTATCCAAGAAAAAAGAAAGAATACATCCACACAAAGACTTGTACAAGATGCTCCTCATAGCTTTATTCATTATAGTCCCAAGCTAGAAACAATCCCAGTGTTCATTGCAAAATAAATGGATAAACATGCTGTGGTGTAGACATTAAATGGAACTAGTTCAACAGTAAACAAGAATGAACTTTTGATACATACACCAACAGTTATTCAGAATAATTAAGCTGAGTAAAACAAGCTATAATATACAAATTATTTGTCTACATTAGTTAAGATTATGCTTAATCCTGCCTAATATTAATACACCTTTGCTTGGTCTACTGAAATGATCTGAGTCTTGAGGTCCTTGTGAGAACATAGAATGCTATAAAGAGGGAGAAAATAATGGAATAGTAAAATCTTCAGTCTTGTATGACCATTTCAGTATAACATGTGAATACAGTGTATATCACAGATCTTTGCACTTGAAATCTACCTTATACAGATTTAACATTTGACTCTCGTGCTAGAGATCCAAGAAGCTAGGTTTCAAAGGACATCTGGCACTTTGTGATAAAGATGTAAATGTACTGGAACTTTTGTGGATGGTCAGTACAGATAGCTTGTATAATCAGACAACCTTGGGTTGTGTTCAGGTGACTTAGAGGGAGAAAGGTAAATCTTAAGAAGTCAAAATTAGTAAATAGCAACTTGGGAACAATAGTGAAAGGAGAGTAAATAAAAGATATTTGTGGTAGAAACTGCCACCATCTTTTCTGACAAGTGAGGAAGCATACAAAGAGAATGCAGATAATAGTAGAATATAGTTAATGTTCAAGTCATAAATGGCCAGAGAATAGTGGGCAAAAGAATATAGGACTTACCACCACTCCAGATGCTATGTTTATAGAGAAGAAGAATCCATGTGAAATACAGTCTTGAAATGGAACAGGATGAAGGGGTGTGTAGAAGACAACTATTTTAGGAGCTCTGGTGGTGTAGTGCCTAATGCATTTGATTGCTAACCAGAAGGCTGGTGGTTCAAACCCACCAGTCACTCCTTCAAAGGAAGATGGGGCAATCTACTTCCATAGTGATACCACCTGTGAAACAGAAGGAGGGGTCATTATGAGTTGGATCTGACTCAACAGCAGTGAGTTCCTACTGTCACGTTTCTGGTTTCAATATCCTGAGATTTGGAAGGGAAATCTTTTGTTTATGCATTTTGTACTTATGAAAGGCACAATCACCAGTTGCCTATGAATTTTACTACAAGGACGAATTTTATTTCAGATGAAGATGAAAATGTCTTCACTGTCACTACTTTACACTGTCATTCCACTTCTAATGATTTCTTTATGGAGAACAAACATACAGCAGGACCCGTAAGGGAGCCTCAATCAGTCAAGTATACAATTATTTTTAGAGTCCAAAAGGAAAAAAAAAAAAATTCACTGCCCTCGAGTGGGATCCAAATCATAGCAAACCCTCCTTCCTTTCTGAGGTGGTATCACTCCGGAGGAGCTCTGTTAGCATACTGCCTAAGGCACTTGACTGCTAACCAGAAGGCTGGTGGTTCAAACCCACCAGCCACTTCTCGGAAGGAAGGTTGGGCAATCTACTTCCGGAGTGATACTGCCTCGGAAACCCAAGGAGTGGTCTCTATGAGTCCAGGCCATCTCGATGGCACATAACAAGAAGATCACTACAGAAGTAGATCACCCAATCTTCCTTCTGAGGAGTGGCTAGAGGGTTTGAACTGCTAGCCTTCCGGTTAGCAGTCAAATGCCTTAGGCACTATGCCACCAGAGCTCCTTTTTAGAGTTCAGTCTATGATTAAGTGTTAAGCTGAATATTTTCTAGTGAGACACTATTTTACTTTAGTGTTATTGAGCTAGTTATGAGAGACAGAAGCATTGACTCTCAATTTACAACAATTAAGGGAAAAATATACTACCCTAGGCCTTATTTTATTTTTTTTTAAATGAAGTAGAGAGCAGTATTATGAAGATTCACCTGGGAAATATTTTTCATAATAAGTAATCCTATTATGCTGAGTGAAATAAGTCAATCACAAAAGGACATATATTGTATTAGTTAATTATTATAAAAAGTCAAAGAAAGGTTTATATATGGAAGGAAACTTTCTTTGTTGGGTACCAGGGACTGAAGGGAAGAAGAGGGAAAATTGCAAAAAAAAAAGGAATAAATAAATAATCTTGTACTTAATGAAAAATCTACTGAATCATGACATATAATATCCTAGAAGTGTTTTTCAAGGGATAGAAGTATGTTACTGTGTGTGTGTGTGTAGAGATTTAAGTGAAACAGTAATATCTGAAAACTGTAGTGAGAGGAATAAGAATAGTGTGTCACTTTATGAAACAGAAAAAAAAAATTGGTTCTTTAAAAAAAAAGAAGAAGAAGAAAGAAAGAGCAGACTATAACCGTAACTTTTGGTGGTTCTAGTTACTAACCTGGAGTGATCTTTAACAAATACTCATGGCTTTGCTCAGCACAGTCTTTACATCCTTATTTCTAAAGCTATAGATAAAAGGGTTCAGCATAGGAATGACTGAGGTGTAGAACACAGAGGCCACCTTCTCTTGGGCCATACTGCTGCTGGTTGCTCGTTTAAAATACATGAACATGATGGATCCACAAAAAAAAAACAACAACTGTAAGATGAGAGCCACAGGTACTAAATGCCTTGGACTTGCCCTCAGCTGAGGGTATGCAAAGTATGTTGGAGAGTATGAAGGCATAAGAAATGAAGATGGGCACAGTTGTTGCTAAAACATTAAATCCACCCAGAAATATCACCAGAAGCTCATTGATGGAAGTACTGGAGCATGAGAGGTTTAGGAGAGGAATTATGTCACAGAAATAATGGTGGATGATATTGTCACTACAGAAGGAAAGCCTGGTCATGAATACTGTATGGGGCATACCTCCAAGGGTTGCCACAATATAGGCTCCACTCACTAGCATGCTGCAGACCTTTTGAGACATGGTGACATTGTAGAGCAGTGGTTGACAGATAGCTACATATCTATTGTATGCCATAACAGTCAGCATATAGAATTCAGCAGTAGCAAAAATACAAAAGAAAAGCAGTTGTGCCATACATCCAGGGTAGGAAATAACATTTCGTTCCAAAACAAAGTTTCCCAGGAGTTTAGGGGTAACAACTGAAGAATAAATGAGATCTATGGCTGACAAATTACCCAGAAAAAAGTACATGGGAGATTGGAGCTTGGAACTGAAAATGATGAGGAAGATCATACCCAGGTTTCCTACTACAGTGACCCCATAGATCCCCACGAACAAGAGGAAGAGGAGTAGCTGGAGTTCTGTCTTGTGCATCAGTCCCTCAAGGACAAATTCAGTCACTGTGGAATCATTTTGTTTGGCCATTTCCCTCAGGAAAAAGGGCACTTGAAACTATAGAAAAGAAAATCACAGGAGATAATAAACCTATTTTCCTGATCTAGTTTTATTAGTGTTATGACAGAAATAAAGAAATCTGATAATCAAACCCAATAATTTAGTGGTGACCAATAAGATAATTAATTATGTATTTCATAATTCAGGAGTGTGTTATTTTTAACAAAACAGAAAATAATAAGATATAGAGAAATAAAGAATACATATGTAATATTTTAAGTAATTAGAATGTATCTCTATAGAACAGTCTGTTAGTAACTGTTTGCTCTCAGGAATTAAATTGGTGACAAGAACAATCAGGAACTAATTAATTATCAATGGGTTTCTCTCTATATTGGCAACTTTCAGAGAAGAAAGCATAATATTTTTATTAAATGTTAAGAAATAACTTTCAGTGTTAATGTTAGGACTTCTATGTATTCTAGGTTGTTATTTCCTCTGGAATAACAAAGCATTCTTTAAGGAGAAACTGGTAAGGGGATGTCTATTTTAGTGTTAGGAATCTTAGTCTCAAAGAGATGTACAGGGACCATGAGTTTCGAAATTAAGGAGGTTTCCAAATTAATTCTGGAGCTTTATGATTCAAATCTACGAGGACTCCATTGTATTTGTTATTTCTAGGAAGTTTTGGAAACTAATGTGGGTACATCTTAGGAAAGCATTGAAATATGAAGGACCATCATCCCAGTGGAGATTCAGAGGTGAAATTTCCTTGAGGATAAGAAAAGCAATTACTGAGGTATATTTGCACCCAGGATAATGGCATTCCCAGAGAATTGACTTTTACATCGTCCAGAATTAAAGTTTAAGAAAAGAGGAGAACCTAACCTATTGCTCCACCCACTGCATACCCCATTGGTAACAGAAAAGTATTGTCCTGTAGTTTAGTTTTGTTTGGTTAGACAGTAGTCTTTCATATATATTTGTGTTAACAGTATTTATATTACAATAAAAATTTGTAATTCTCCTGAATAATTATATTTCATAATAAATTATTTAATAAATTATACTCAAGGTGCCCTGGTGGGACAGTGGATAAGTACACGCCTGCTAACTGAAAGGCTGCAGTTCCAACTCACCAGCTGCTCCACATGAGAAAGATGTAGCAGTCTGCTTCTGTAAAGAGTACAGACTTAGAAGCAATATGGGAAGTTTTACTCTATCTTAAATGGTCTCTGTGAGAAGAATCAACTTAATGATTTTTGGGAAAGTGTATTCAGAATTTGTGTACTTACTTGAATGCTCTTGGAGTAGAGGAAAGGTTTCTTCTATTTAACTTATACTTTCTCTCTGGTAATTGTGCAATAAATTCAATATCTTCATGGAAGTTATTACCTTCCCAGGACCTTGCTGATCTTGCTGAGTGTGTGATATTATTAGCATCTAATATCAAAGTATCATATGGTAACTTTTGGAAATAAAGGAGAAATCTTGTTATCATTTATACAGCTGGGTTGATGTTACAGCTGTGTCACTAATTCACTCTGTGACATTGAAAAAGGCATTTTACTTTTTCTTTTCTAAAAACGAGTATGATTGGAGTGAAGACCTTTAAGATCTGTTATGATTTAATGACTCTCTAATTCCAGTTTGAGTGAATATAGATCTTATGATTGCCTTTCAACCTTAGATCTGATCTTGTGGCACCTTTTATAAGTAAGAGAATATTTTGATTTGTTGTTTATAGGTCTTTGAACTGCAAGGACATGCACGAGTTCAGTATTCCTCTAGGACCAAAAGCCCAGTGGAGACTCAGAGGTGAAATTCCCCTAAGAATAAAAAAAAAAAAAAAAGCAATTACTGAGCTATAATTACACCCAGAATGATGGTATTCTCAGAAAATTGACATGTACAATGTCCAGAATTCAAGTTTTGCTATTATTTTTTTGTAAAAGAAGACATAATACAGCAAATGGGAATGGTTCCATCTGGAATGATTGTAGTATGTCCAAAACAAATGTGGGCAGTTTGGTGAGGATGTTCTCCCTCCCTTAGAAAAGCAGAAGCCAAGGCCCTCATCACTGTGTGTCTACAAGTAGAGTATAGTAATTATTTTCTTTAGACTTTTTTTTTTAACTCTTTTTACTGTAAATAATGTCAATTAAAAATTATTCTCCTGGATGGTTAAGTCAACATAAGAATGTCAGTGATGACCTAGGTAGGCAGATAAACACATGTGTGTACATGTGTGTGTGTGTGTGTGTGTGTGTATG